CCCCAAAACCCCAAAACCCCAAAACCCCAAAACCCCAGGGCAAATCTTTGAATTGAAGCGTTTTTGGAAATTAGAAATTGAAATTTTTAGGTCATGGATTCAGTAAGCAGAAGAATTTTTTGACTGATGCTAAATGCAAGAGCTTTGATAAGCCAGTGGTGTATTATGTCAATGATTTACTGCACAGTTTTGTCTTCCATTGATAAGTCATCCAGAATTACACCTAAATGCGGTTTTGGAGAGTAGTGAAAAATTTTCAGTCTAAAATCTTTGTTTACTCAAAAATATTGGTGATATAGATGTTTTTATGAGAGGGTCAGAAATAATAAGGCTTATGAATTCCTGGATTTCTTATCTTTAATGTCTATAGCGCTAAAGCCTCATATCTGATGTTAGCTAATATTTCTGGTCTTTTAAATCTCACTACTTTAGGTGGACTGACAACTTTCAGACGAATGGGATGAAAGATTGGAAAAAGATGGAGAAAAGCTAATGGAGATCTTTCAGGAAGGAAGAAATATGCACCAGTATATAGCATTAGAGAAGGAGATTAGGAGGTGTAAAGGACTTAAGAGAGGAAGGTAAAGAAGAGGGATGAGGTTTAGACAGGTCTGAAGAGTCGTTGGGAAGAGAAGGGATGAAGATATGAAAGAAGAAACCCTTTATGTGACTGTTGATAAGGCTAAGGAATGATTAGATGTGGCTAAGGTGAGGGAGATTTAGTTTGAGTGGTTTTATTTTGTAATTTTTAGTAAGGTTTTTATTTTGGACTTCTTACAGATCCGCTTTTCTTAAGACCTTTAACCTTTTTAACTCTAAATTTTTAAGGAGAACGATCCAAATTTTCATGAGAAGTGGTGGAGAGGAAATAAATCAAAATACAATCCATTCCATACTGATAAAAAGCTGAGAACCAAATCTGACTGGAATAGAACAAAGAAATGCTGTTTCTTAGTGACCCCTAATTCATCAGGAATAGTTGCAAAATCACTAAAGACTAGGGGAAGAATGTATGGAGAGTGCGAAATATTTGAAGAGGAGGGACGAATCCCAAAACTATACCTTAACGCACCAGAAGGCCAACAGATCTTTCAAAATGCAAAATCAATTCGGATAATTGAGAACAATGAACCGGTCAGATCGAGATCCAGAGCGAAGTAAGGATTTTTAGGGGAATTTGGGACTGAGGGTTTTAGTAGGAGAGAGTGGTTAGGTGGGATGGTGAAGAGGTTTAGGAGAGATTCTGTTTGTTTGACTGAGCTTTTGGGTTTGGGGGGTTGATTTGGAATGGAGGATATTTTAGAGAATAGAGGGGCTGATTAACTTGTAGTTGAGGAGGTAGTTTGTATAGGGATAAATGAAATTTTTGATAATGCTTTATTAGTTATTGATCATTGAGGCAGATTAGAAGCTATTAGATAGGATATTGTTGGAAGGATTTTAATGAACAGCCTGATACCTTATCAAATACAGCCATCTACTGAATTTCTTTGACACCTCACTTAAAACAGACCTCTCAACCCCTCTATCTTCATTACTAGGTACCACTCCAGGATCAGTCAACTAAAATCAGCTTATGAGCACCCTCCAGTGTTGCCTAACGAGTAAGCTCTAGCTCACCTGTAGCAACAACGAGGTGCCAGTCCCAGTGCCGTTCCACCAGTACTGCAATATCTGCGGATGCTCCTTTGAGGATTACTTAGACCATCTCAAGTCAGAAGAACATAGCAAGAATTTGAAGAATGAAGATATGTTGTAGGTAGACTTGGATCTAATTTGTAGTTTATTTGATGATTTGGCTTTGGATATTCAAAAAAATCATACAGAGACAGTTCTCACTCAAAAACTTCAATCTTTCCTCTCCCAATACACTGGCCAAGATAAGTATCCGCACACTACCAAAAGATTCATGCAGCTCATAAAGCTTGACTTACAACTTGCTCATAAATAATTCAATCTGGTTTGTAACAATTGGGGTTTTGGGGTTTTGGGGTTTTGGGGTTTTGGGGTTTTGGGG